CACGTGGTAATTAATTAATTTGCGGCTAATTGGGGGACGGGCGGGCGCTCATTTGCCTGGGGACGGCCTTAATTACCCGGGAAATGTTTTTAATGAGCGGCTTTGGGGGGGGCTTTAATTGATTTGAATTAAAAGCGCCGGGAAAATTCATAATTAATGCGTCAGGGTTAATTAAGGTTTTGTAATAAAGAATTGGATGAATAAAAATTCGAAAGAAAAGGTTTAAATAAAGTATATGTGATTGTAAATGATGAAAATATGGAATGAGAAATCCTCCTCCAAGTCGAGGCAGGATTTCTCTTCCAAAGCAACAGATTGCAGCCAAGCACCCAGATAACAATCGCAAGCAGGCACATCAGCCCAGAAAGAATGGGCAGGACACGGGCCATCAAACGAACAAAAGAACGGGCCCGGACGAGATATCGCCGAACCGAGCATCTCCGCCCTGACCACCTGTGCTAGAGAAATGGAGAAACTAGACAAAGGAAGAGGAGCCAGCCGAGATAGCCATCGGCTCCAGGATGGGTGCCACCACTCCACCCTAAAGGCCCGGACCAAAATGATATCAAAAAGACATCCTGGACCTCTTTACATATGAGGAGCCTCTGCCCAACGTCTATTGACTCTATTCTCCAGTGCCAGGAAATCTATTCTTCGAACAATCAAGAACCTCTTAGCAAAGGGTGCCTGCTTGGAATTTGGCCTCGGGACACAAACTTCCTATAAAAACCCAGGCCAAAGGACTCTCAGGCGTGGATTTGGGAGCATCTATACCTTGCGTATAGACCCTGTCCACCCAGCGCTGCGCTGCTTATTTTATTGTGGTTTTTTCTCTTTGTTCGAATTTATTATTGTTTGATAATAAATTTTCTCTTTTATATAACCCGAAATTGCCTTTGCATTTATAACAGATTGGTGCCGTGACTCGGATAAGAGAAATTGCAGGAGAATCTCGCTACCCAGGACGGGTACCCCCGCTGATTTTAGCGGCCTGGTGAGCCGAGAACCTCCGCAGCACATTCCTATATCCGAACCAAATTTAGGCTAAGGAAAAACCACAATAAAAAGGGAGAAAGGATCCAGAGAGCTCGGGAAGGCAAGGAGCCTTCGAGAAAGCCGCGGCTTGGTAGCTCGTAAAAAGTCATCTGTGCACGAAGACACCCTCGCAGGAAAATAGCTGTAAGTATTGTGAGGTTGAGCTGGTGATTGGGCGATTGTGTGAGACGTGATCTGATCACGAAGCGAGTGCGGACTTCAAGGTCGCGGTTCCATCCTCCCGCGAGGGAATTGGCCGGCCAAGAAGGAAGCGATTCGGTGTGAGAAAGGTCTCTCTTTACACGATTGTAAAAACCTGGGACGAAGGAGGTCCTGGGGGACCGATCACAGGAGGCTGAAAGGGGAAGAGGACGTCCTGTCGAGCTCGGGAATTAGTAAACCCTTTCAGTCAACGGGCCTAGGCAAAGGTCCAAGAGAGAATCGAAGTGCTGAATACAAGAGACTCCAGTACAGCTAACTGCGAGGTGAGTATTAGCAAAGACTTTGATTCATCTGGTAAAGGCGGAACGAACACAACGCAAGAAAGGTAAGATATTTTTCAATATGAGACAAAGAAAAAGTAAGATGCAGAAAAAGGGTAATGAAAAGGGTCCCTCTGAGAGAGAGAAGGGATCACTAGACATCCCACCGGAAAGTCCCTTGGGATGGATGTTAAAATATTGGGAAAATTGCCCTGAGAGAAAAAAAGAAATCTAAGGCAAAAATGATCTGGTATTGTGCCGAGGTCTGGGGAGGGCAAGAACTGAGAAACCACCTCACTTAGCCTGTGGTGGGCACATTTGAAAGGTGGACGTGTAACGAGTATATTTGCGAAGTATAGAGCAGAGAAAAAGTAAGCTACAAAGGAAGAGCACAGGGAAAAATCCCTCCAATCCGGAGGAGAGATCACCAGACATCCCGCTGGAAAGTCCCTTGAAGTAAATGTTAAAACACTGGGAAGATTGTCCCCTGAGGAAAGGGAAATCGAAAGAAAAATTAATACATTATTGTATAGAAGTTTGGGGAAGACAGGAGTTGAGAAGTCANGGCCTCGGCCTTGCGCGAACGCGGCCGGTCCCTGTCGGGGCTGAGCTCTCCGCGGCCTGGGGCACCTGCACGCCACGCCTTGGCCCCTCTGGAAATGCCGCTGTCCGAGCGGCTGCGCTGCTCCTGCCCCTGGTGGTTCTCCCTTCCCACCGGTTATTTCCTTCCCGGCATCCTTGCACGGTTTCATCTTTAAATGACACAAGCCCTCTCCTTTCACCCTTCCCTGGCATAAACGTGTTTTCAGGAGTCGTCATATATTTTTCCACCTTATTTTACTCCTTGATTACTATCTCTTCGTTTTTTTTCCCTCCTCTTGCAGCCAATCCAGCCAGATGGGTTTCCAGGCTTGGCTGCCACTGCCATTGCCAAAGCAGCTGGTGGTGTTCGGGCTGGGAGACTGGAGCTGTTACTCTCCGGACACGAGCATCGCAGTGGATGTGCTGGTGTCCCCAGATGTCGCGCCACAGCGGGTCGGCACGCTGGAGCCCACCCGCAGGTTACAGCAGGAGCTGCCAGGGTGTCAGGAGGGGCATCTTGGAAAAGCTTTTTGATCTCTGGTGCTGCCTGATCTGCTGCTGTTCTACAAAAGCTGCTTGGGCCCATTGGTCCTCCACCATGGTGTTTCCCTCTAGCGATGATTCTTTTTGGCTGCTTTCGGGGTTAGCTCTCTTTTGGCTTTGGGCTGTTATCATCTAGTATGGGAGCAGGAATTTTGTCCTGGTCAGTGTCACTTGTGGGCTGAAAAGCTGTGGTCCCTTGTGCAGGTCTCTGGTGTGGGAAGATGACTGGAGAACAGATATTTTCATGGCCTCATTGAAAGAGATGGACAAAGGCAACCCTGTGAGGCTTGTCCTGACTGTCAGTGGACAGGTAAAATAATTGACTCTCCTCTTTTCCTGTCTAGGGTCCCAAATGTTGTTACTTCTCAGGCCCAGAACCTCTTCTCTCTTTTCCTTCTATGCTACTCTGAGCTGACAAACATGAATCTGTTAATGCACGTCTGTGATTAGCCTGAAACCTCTGTGATGTTCCAGGCCTGTCCTCTGAACACAGTTTTGCCAGAACACCCTGTGTGTTGCAGGAGATGGGCAGCAGACAGCTGTTCACTTTCAGTTCCACTCTCTCCTGAACTTTGGTACTTAAATAGTTGTACCTTGAGCTGAAGCCAATGGATTTAGGATCTTGCTAAAAAAAAAGCATCCGGCTTTCCTTTTTCTAGTTTGTTTTGTTGGTGTAGGGGATGAAAGGCAGTTTATTCCATTGCAGGGAATCTGTCCCTCACCAAGACATGCTTTTGCTCATCCTTTGTGTGGATGGAGGCTAGCACACTTATGGCCTTTTATTCTGACGCTGTTTCTGCTGCAGCTGCTCCGAGGTGTCTCCAGCAGTACACCTGCCCGTTCTTTTCTTGTACCAGAGACCACCCAGTCACCAGTACTCCCAGCAGATGATAGGCCACTTGGTCAGGACCTGGAGGATCCTACTGGGGTACGTGTATTTTGGAGTCATCTTCTTGTTATTTCACTTTTTTCTTAGTATCTTCTTCCTCACCAGTAGCCATTCAGTTGACGTCTAGCTGAAACATTTGCTGCCATTTTTTCAGTGGAGATATGGCTAAGCAAATTCTGGAGCCAAAGTTTCTGTTGTGCTGAAGCAAGATATATTCTCCATTGAAATGCTTTTTTAAATGTTGGATATACTAGTTCTTGGTGGGATGGTCAACAAACCCCCTTCATTCCTGGTACAGATAGCCTTTTTGCACTTCCACGTTCTAGCTGTGCCCAGCAGCTAGCAGTCTGAATGCTGCCTACATCACACAGCAGCAGATAGATGCATTGCACTGCATCTGTTTGGCAGCTGATACTAATGGCATGTTGGCTCTTAAAACTCAATGGGATGATGAGCTGAACAACAGTTACCACATCTCTGACCAAGTAAGATGCAATTCACAGTAGCCTCAGGTGTCTTTCTTCAGGGCTGATTTGACTGGGGCTTATGTCACAGGTTAAGAGTCAGAGCTCAGAGGTGCCTGCCAGAGCATCCAGGCCTGTGAAGAACATCCAACCACCACTGAGGACTGTGGTGGTACCCTGTGCCCTGAAGTCACCAGCTGGAAAGGTGGAACCCAGTGAGGCCTGGAGGAAGAGTCCTAACCAAGAACCACCAAGAGTCCACTCCAAAAAGCCCAGAAAAGTTTTATTTGAACCCACAGCATCTGAGAAAGATCTTGATGAAGAAGGTAACTCTGGTAGCTTCCAGCTTTATTTTACAGGTCTTGTCTGAATGATCTGTCAATGCTGCTGGGCTGCACTTTCTCAGTCTTTTTCTCTATATACCTCCAAGGCATGATGGGCTTGTATGCTTGGCTTTGAAATACTAAGAATGGTCTTTATTCCTGGGTCAGCTGCTTGATGAGTTTTTGCCTGCTGGGAAAAGGCCAGAAATGGAACATGGGATATTCTTAGTGTCACCACTTTTTACTGTGACATAATGCCTATCTTTTCATCCAAATAAAAGTGTTTTCTAAATTAAGAATATTGTTAACCTTGTTTTAGAAAAGAATAAATTGAGGCACAAGAAAATTACCTACTGTGATGTTCTGTAAGCTGCATTACTCTGTTTGTACCCCTACTAACAGCATACCACTTGGTCCATAGAAGACATTGGTTATTATTACAGTATAAAAAATATGAAAAGGAATATATGTATATATATATGTATATATATATATATATAATAATTGTACTGACTTTTGAGTACTAAGAAGGTAACTGCCAAGGGATTTGGAAACAAAGCCTTAGGCTTCTGGAGTGGGAATTCTAAGTTAGCTCCAGAGTGTGACCAAGTCTATGTGTAAAAGTTTGTCAGTAACTTAGTGGTCCCCATAAGAAATTACTTACTGGGACTTGGCTTGCTTGTCATAAAGGCAAATACTGCTCCATCATAAAGATTTTTCTGCTGCAGGCAGTGTGAGCAGGGAAACGAACTTCCATCAGAGGAGTAAAATGCAATGGCAACAGCATTTGGCAGTCAGAGGAAGTATGCCCTGCTCCTACTATCTTCTGCATTTCTTCTGATGAGACTTAGTTTATGATTCTTGGTCTTGCACCTTGTTTGTTGCAGTGAGGTAGCTTTGTGCTGCAGGTTGGAGAAAGGTCAAAGGGCTCTTGTACAGTGGAGCTGATCACTTTCCACAGTATGTCTGCTGGCTGCTTTATGAGGCCATCTCTGTGTTCCCTCTGCAGATCTGGCAGTGAAGGAGTTGCAAGGTGAGGATTTGGTTCCTAGATCCTGGTTTGTCTTTTCAGTCATTCAGTGGTGGTATTCCTTCCCTTCAACATCGGAAACCTCTCATGCTTCATCCTGTATCTCCCCAGTGAACAAGAACAAGTAGGTTGTGTGTATATACTGTTCCTTTTCATGCAATTGCCATCAGTGCTTCCAGTACTGTCAGGCTCTCAAATATGTTTCTTTAGCCCCTCTGAATCTCAGGCATACCTCTGCGTACATAGCTCTTTGAGGAAAAAAGGTAAGATATGAAATAGACTTTGACTAAAAAGTATTTTTTTTTAGCTTGCTCAGCCAACTGCAGGGGCTTGGGAGGGGAAGGGAGGAGGAACAGAGCAGTACAAGGAATACCTCTGGAAGCAGCTCCAGGCTTCTGATTGTTCTATCTTAGGTACTGACAAACTGTCCCTGGGTAGCCCTCCCTCATGAGGAGTAGTATGGGGCAGGTAGCACAACTGGGATATCACTTTTGGAGATGGGCTAGTAAATAGGGGACATCCAAGCATGTCTGAAATGGCAGCTTGGATGCATCCAGCTACTGCTTGCTCCTGAGTTCTAAGTACAGCAATTATTCCCCCAAGCCAACTGAAAATATTGCTCAGGGAGGTATGTCTTTTTCCCCTGCAGAGGGAAGGGACATGGGGCCCTTGCCTTACCATTTCCCCCCTCTGAGCATTCAGGTGGCTTGTTCTCCCCAGCAGGGAAGGGAGCTGAGGGTGTCTTGTCTGACTGCTCACAGGCCTGTGCTCTTCCCTCCCCAGGCAGTCCCAGCCCTCGATGGTGCCATGCCATGTGCCTCAGTGACCGGGGGACAGCTGTTCTCATCGGTGGAGAAGGTGTCAATCAACAGTCCTGCAGGGATGCTTTCTGGAAGCTGGAAACTGGTGGGTACTATAGGGTTGTCAAAAACAATGGGGACAGTGGGACTTGAAGATGGCTCATGGAGATGGGAGGGGATACTTGGGCATCTCTGTGCAGATGGAGGGGACAGCAAAGGCATCATACCTGGCATGTCTTGAGGCTGAGCTGACAGCATAAAGTACCTTGTGAGGCTCTGGGATTGTACTTGAGAGCCCTCTAGGAGCTAAGGTACAAGTTCTGGAAAGAGATGGAATTTTAAGGGGTAAAAGCAACAGTGGAGTTTGCAGTCTGTGTGTTGACTGGTGGGGAAGTGTGAGATACAATTCCAGTGCCTTGTGTCTTTCTACGTCTCACTGGTCTTCTCTTTCACCTTGCTATTCCCCATCATTCCTTACAGAAACAATTCTGTATGAGTCCCCTCTAGCCCTGAATCAAAGGAGAGGAGGAGACAAAGGGAGCAAGGTTTTGCATAAAAAATTTATGGCATATTCTTTAAATTCTAGAGAAATCAAGAGTATTTTTGAATTCCCACACCATGTGTCTGCTGTTGCTCCCACAGACAGTGATTTATGGCTTCCAGTGGGTTTCCAGCTACAGAATGCCATGCCATCATGCTTGCATGGTCACACAGCTACTTATGACCCTGACACCAAGCGTATCTACATCTTTGGGGGCATAAGGGAGGACAAAGACTACAGCAGCATGTACATTCTGGACACAGTCACCTGGAAATGGCTCCTTGTGGCTGTGAGTACTGCATCTCTTCCAAGACAAAAGTGCAGGAGGGGTGGCAGGTTCTGTCTGAATGTGGCAGTCATTGTGCCCATTTCCTTAGTCCAGTGGTCTTTGGTCCACTGTTGCTGTAGCTTGTCTGAGATGTATAGTTGGGTTTGACAGGTATTAGGAGTCTGTGTTGAAAAGCCACATGCTGAACAGAAACCAGGTACTGTGCCTACAAGGAATGAAGCAATGTGAAAAAATGGTTGCTGCAGAGGGCTGTGCCTGACCAAGCTCACGGGTGGGATGTACTCTACAAGCAGTGGAAGGAAGTGGCCTCTCATTTTATATGGTGCCATTGAGAGCTGCACCAGATGCTGAGGTTAAGAGACAGTCTTTTCAAATCAGGAACTGCCCTGAGCACAGCAGAATTCTGAGCCTTGTCAGCATGGGATTGTCTCTTTCCTGGTAAAGCATAAAGTAGCTTTTACAGGGTAAGCCTGGATGAGATTTTTCTGTTCCCTGACATCTTCTAAGGAAGGTGTGGGAGGCTGATTTCCTTTTCTTATCAGAGCATTCTGGTGGTGTAGAGCATGCCAAGAACATACTGTCTGCCTGCATAGCAAAGATCTGGCTGGGAAGTCAATAAAGTGAAAATTGAGACTTGTCAAACTCACTGCATGATGTGGGCCCCTTTCCTATGGGTCATGGAGCAAATAATGCACTTCTTGTAACAAATATATATTGAACTTTTTCTAGGCGAAAGGGAGGATACCAGTGCTCACCTACCACAGCGCAACTATCTACCACAAGGAGCTCTTTGTTTTTGGAGGAACTTTCCCTAGAAAGGCATCACTGGCAGTTGCACCCTGCAGCAATGTGCTCTATGTCTTTAATCCAGAGCATGAGATTTGGTATCAGCCCATTTCAGAAGGGGAGAAACCTCTACCTAGGCTTGGGTGAGAGTGCTCTAATTCCAGCTACCAAAAAATAGTGCAGAAAACCTCTGCTTACATTCCTTCCCACACCAGTGTGATTTTTGAAGTATTAGGCGATTATTTTCCACCGTGTACTCCTTAAGACAGGGCTGTGTTTAGAGCAATGGGATTCTCAGTACCTCCTGTTGTGAATCCTGATGGGATTCTGTCCGAGGTGTAGACTGAAGCTATGGCAGCACAGTAGAAGAGGCCAAGGCTAAAACAGAAGTTTTGGGAACTTGCTGAAGATGTTTTATTCATTTGCTTGCTCTCTGCCCAGGCATTCAGCTACTCTATTGAAAAACAAGCTGCTGATTTTTGGGGGTCGGAGGACTTCTCTCTACCTTAGTGACATGCACATTCTGGATCTGGGTAAGAAAGTCTGTGCCATGTGTCTGCCTTGGGAAGGTCTGTTCCAAGACAGGGAGTGAGGTGTGCTCAATGGGAAAACAGCAGTAACATTATACAAATTCCAGACTAGACAATGGAGATGAAAAACTATGGCTTAAAAAAAAGCCCTTTCTGGGGCAATAAGGGAGGGGATGAGGAAAAAACAATGGCTTTTTTTGAAAGAAGTTGGGTAATAAAGAAGACAGGTTGTTGATGTGGCAGTTTTTGTCTAGTTATGAGGCTGAGGTTTTTTGACATTTCACCTGCCTTTTCTTGGTCTGTCAGGTTTCATGGAGTACACACCAGTCCCCCTGCTGGCAGGACAGCCTTCTGCACGTTGGTAAGATTCTGTTGCAGACCCAGGAGCTGTCTTCTTCTGTCACTTCTCTTTGAAACCAGATTTAAACAGTGCTTGTGATCAGACCCAGCTGCATATCTCTGTTCCACTAGTGAAAATACGTGGATCTTCTCTCTGCTGTGGGCCCAGGAATTCCTGTGCTGTCCTTGATGGTGCCAGTATGGTGTTGGGGGACATTACTTAGCCTCCCTGGAAATCTGTCTTTCAGGTTAGGCTGTCTTCTGCCCTGTGCTAGTAAATTGTATGGCCTGCTGTTTGGTCTTCACAGTGTGTGGAGAGGTAGTGTGCCACGCAGAGGAATAAACTCCTGTACTAGGACTATGCTGTTCTTAAAGGGACAGAATTGCTCACTGTAACAATGATCTAAATCAATGCAGAGCCCAGCTAGCCTGCTATCTCACCCCACAGAGCAAAGCATAGGAGTTTTGATAGCTCCTTCTGAGAAATAAGTTCCTCTTCAGGCCTGATTGTGGCCTGACCTGCAGAGGCAAACTTCTCTTTTAGGGTTATTCTGAAAATCAGGGCAGAGAGAAGCAGAAATCAATTTTCTTCCTGCAGCTTAAAGCCCCCATCCTTGCCCATTGCTGAGGCCATCCAAGCAGGTTTTGTTGTAGTCACCTTTTGACTTTGCTTTATTCACAGTTTTCATGCAGCTCTGGCTGTGTCGGACCAGAAGGTTCTGATCAGTGGAGGCTGCAATGCCAGAGGAGCCTTCCATGATGCCTTTGTCTTCCACCTAGGTGAGTGACTCTCCTGCAAAGAATACATTTGATAGCTGAACATGACTCTGGGGCTGCAGTGGTGTTTTTGAACACCTAGTCTAGTCCATTTGTGTCATCCCTTTGCAGCAGGAATGGGCTTGTCAGTATTGATATCCCCTTTCCATTTCAGATACTCTTTCATGGAGCACAGTGATCCACCACGACCTCTGCTCTGTTCCCCGAGCTGGCCACACATTGCTTGACATGACTCCTGCCCACTTAATGGATATGGACAAGGAGAAGAAAGAGGAGCAGAACCTGCACAAGGTGTTGGTCTTTGGGGGCTCCAACTGTGCTGGGACCTTTTATAACAGCACAGTCAAGATCCAGCTGGACCTAGGATAATGCATGATTCTCAGAATGAGCCTGAACAGCAAGTCTCTTCACCAGCCTAAATACAGATATGGATGGCAATAAATGAGTCCAAGCAACATGGCAGTCCAGGTGAATGCCACCTTGGTACAAGTGATTGTGGGTTTATAAAGTCTGAAGGCCATGGGTATTGTTCTCCTAGGGTACCTGACATACAGTATCTGGGTTCAGGTGCCAAAACATTCAGTGGGATCTGAGCTGAGCCTGCACAAGCACACAGACACAAGGTTATGGGTTCCCTTTTTGCCCTACAGATTTTTAGCTGGAATTCCCAGGGCACTTTCAGCTTTGAAGGTGACTTAGGTGTTTGGTTTCATTTGAGTATTTACTGCTGCTATTTGTCCTCAGAGTAATAGGTACAGGTATGATTCTGGTTTGGAGGGAATCTTGGGTGGGATTCCCTTGGGCAACAGTCTGCAGCTGAAGGCTAGGAAAACACCTAGAGTGGTATCTGAGGAAGGGAAAAAGAAGAGAATGATTTTCAGTGTAGGGGAGAGAGTTGGTTGTGCCTTGCTGTCACAATCACCTAGCTTTTCTCTAGGCAGACCTTTTATAAATTCTGTGCTCTGGTTATTGCAAGGGGTCACAGAGTTGCTGACTTGGCTCTTTCAAGACTCCAAGAAGGGTTAAGCTATCTTCCATCAGAGACTAGATCTTATTGTTTATATCCATGGAACTGATGACTATGCTGTGCCTCTGAGTTGGGTCGAAGGATAAGCACACTGTGTATGCTGATTCCCTGATGCTCTTTCTGTAGATGGTAGAAAGAAGTAGCCCCTGTGGGGAATACAGAATTGGCTCAATGCCTCACACTTGTCTGTGGCCACGTTCCCCAACCCAAAGCCATACAGAGGGAACTTCTGATTATAATGGATACTTCTGCTTTAATCTGCTTCATGGAGATAGACTGCATAGAAAAAATAAGTAGCTGCAAGTCACAGCTCCTGTAAGCCATCTACACTGTTTCCAGGTCTTCTGTCTTTCCCACCCAGATGAAAGAGAAACAATAGTACTAGGGATTCCTACTGGCACTGAAGTCCTACTCAAATTGGAGGTGTTATCTTCTTTATCATGCCAGCTTTCTAGATTTAATGAGTAGAAAGGCTTCAAGCTCGCAGCTCTGCAGGAGTATCTGGCTGCCGGGAAGGGTGGCTTATTTTGAAGGCCTCTAACTCCAAGAGAGCTTTATTTATTCTGGTTATTGTGGGATATGGAGCCATGTCCACTTTGAATCTGTAAAAGGAAAAGAATTTGTGAAGTACTATGAGCTGGAGAGCCAGTGCAGGAGTGAGCAGAAGTACAGAGTGGTGTGATAGGCCTGCCTAGTATGGGAGAATCTCACAGGCATTTGCACTAACAGAAAAAGTTGATCCTTGTAAGTTTAAAAACAAATTCTAGAGAGATTAATCAGTGCCTGGAGAGATTGTAAAGGCTTCATCTCTAGAGGTACTCAAAACCAGCTGGATGCAATCCTGTGCCACTTCCTGTAGCAGGGAAATTAGACTGGGTGACCTCCAGAATTCCCTTTCAACCCAAATCATTCTGTGATTGTGTGATCTTCACCAGATTTTTACGTAATGTGCAGTAAAAGGTAAGAAGACACCGCTTTTCCTGGAATCATACAGCCACTATATGTATGAGTTTAAGGCTAGAAACAAATAGTGTGATTAATCTTTTCCTCCTGGGTGCAGTGTGAGAATAGAGCAAACAGGGACAGAGAATATGGAGTTGTGGGCAACCTCAGCTTTTCTAAGGTCATAGATCAGGTTTACCCAGGGGCCTCTAAGATGAGACCACAACTCCTTAGTTCCAAAAGAGACAGTATTTATGAAATAGGAAAATTCATGGAGAGAAGAAACATGCAGGAGGTACACTTTATAAGAGGCAAAAGGAGCAGCAGAAGGTAAGATCTGACAGCCTAGCAGAAGTATGTGTGTTGAAGAATATCTCAAGCTTAGCCTTAATTACCTTTCAGCATTGGCAACTTGAGGCACTAAACACAGATCAGCCATGGAAACCTGTAAATATAGCAGAGAAAAGGGGTTAGAGTAACTCAGAGCCTGTTCCCTCATACTTCCCAGTGGTGGCAGGATTTGGGACCAAGACAGAAATTATTTTATCAGCCAGTACAGAGGAGTTGTCATGATGATCTAATTCTTTAATTCAGCATTAATAATACATCAACAGTACAAGAAAAAGAACTTCATTGCAGTCACTAGTAAAAGCCATCAGCTTTTAGGGAACTTTACATTTACCAGCTGATCATTATGACCTCAAGGACACTGTGCTTCTATGGCAACTGCCTCTGAGCAAACAGGTCTGCTGGCAAGCTGCAGATGGAGGTGATGGAGGGAGGGGGTGTTTGCATGGCTAGGGAAAGTTAAGTAAATTTTGCTTGTTTGCACTGCAGGAGTATCAAGCAGGTCCTGCCAATGTCAAGACTTGATATGTGATAGGGCCTCTGTACACAGGCTCAGAGATTTGCAATCTGAAAGACTCAAGGACAGTGCTGCTGGCTGCCTATCTGCACAGACAGAGGCAGCTGCCCCCACTCTGCTCCCCAGGTTACAAAGCCTTGGGTACCACTCAGAGCACATGTTATTCTCCAGCATTAGATCTTGTAAGTAGCCTTCACCTCCCGAGGGCTCCATAAGGCTGCTACTAGACAGTCCCCTGCATCCCAGCATAATGCAGGAGCTTTCTTTTTTCCCTAAGGCTTTTATAGGAAAGATCTTTTACCTCTTTTACCTTTTATTAGCAGAACTAATAAATGGAAAATGCCTGAGCTACCTCTAGTTTGGTAAGGGCCAGAACAGCTTTTACATGAGCTCTGTGAAATCTGTCCATATTAAAATGGATGATCAGAGCAGAAAAATACAAGTTGGTTAAAGGTTCCATAGAACAGAGCTGAGAACTGAACCCATGTTTTTTGAGCCAGGCTTTGCCCCTATGACAGGACATGCTGAAGTCCAAATCCCATAAAGATGAAATATCTTTTTCCATATCCTCGAGTACCAGCCAGATCACACAGCTACACAGTACACAGCTACACAGTACACAGCTGCAGAATCTGGCCATCAGCAGGTTGTAGGCAGGGACAAGTAAACACCTGCATAACTCTCTGCTAGTCAGTAATGGCCTAAGGAGGATCCTCGCAGCTGGTTTTTGTTATGGTGAAGGGACTGCATGTAATTCTAGGCACTGGATGGGGTTGTGCTCTTGTCTCCTTTACTCATTTTCTTTCCTATTTTAGGGGAAGATTCTGGGGTTTTCAGTTCTGCGATAGCACATCGGACTCTCTCAGATACTTACTTCATCCCCCACACAGTAGCGTCCAGCAGTCTGCTGCAGAATCTGCTCCAGTGCTGTCAAGAGAGGTGGTACACTGGAGTGAGGCATTGGAAAGTCAACGGAAAGGGACACCAAACCACTTTCTAGACTGGGAATTGTGTACAAGGGCATATTAACCCTGAGCAGAGTATGAAAAAGGAGCATTTTGGGACAGAAACTAGAAGGAATAGATATCTTACTATAGTTACGGTAGTCTTTAGGGTCCTTCAGCTTTTTTGGACCAGGGTGAATTCAGCTGCTTCAGACTGCACTAGAAATACTATAAGGGTAATGTAGAAATATGTGATTGTGGAGAGGAAAAATGCAAAAGTTCAGTCAATTTGTGTCTGTCAGAAGTGAAGATGGGCCTGTCATTGCAGCACATGGGGAAAGGGTTTTGAGGGAACCAAATGCACTTTATTTCTCTCAAAGAGGCAAATAAATACCCTGCTACTTGCAAGACTCTGTGGAAGTTTGCCATTAGATGTCTGATTACAAAAGCATATCTATCTATCTATGTAGAACTTTAGAAGTGCTGTGAGCCCTTGTGCTTCAGAATGAATCAGCTGCTATAGTGTGCAAGATGGCACCAGGCTTCCACTCCTCCAGGTGCAACAGTGGAAGTGTTCTGTGTACATCTTTCCTCTCAGATCCTGGGGATCTACCAGTCCTGGAGAAGAGACTGGGCAAGAAGAGCACTATCTCTGCCAGTACACCAGCCTAGGAATGTCTGTAGTTCTACTTGAAAAGGCAAGTAGAATGCCAGTGGTGCAGTATTTTGTAATGTCAGCCAAAATACTGATCATTTTGGATGTGGGATGTACCTTGAAAGCCAGAGGTGATACAGTTCTGAGCCCATTCCATTTTTTTCTCCCCCATTTGTTTCAGGACACTCAGGTTCTGTGAAGGCAAAGCAATTGCTAGGTTAGATGGCTACTGTTGGCCACTGCTTACTCACTGTGTCATCCAGTGGAGGAGAGGGGAGATGAGGAGTTGCCAAGGCTGAACCCCTGGCCTGAGTTCTGTTGGTTGGGTTAGCCCGGACCTCACCTGCACTGAATCATGCACCCTGCTGTATCTTTCTCCTGGTACTACCCTTCTGTAACATTTGCCAGGGTATCCCTTTACCTCTTCCCTTTGGGCTACTCAATTCTCTTCATCCCAAAATTTCCTAGACTCTGCAGTGAAACCATATGGATTCAGCTCTTTCTAGAAAGAACCCTGGGATGCTATAGGATTTTCTGTGTTGGAAATACTGTATTGTTGCCATTGGCATGATCAGGCAGAGGTTAAGCAGATTTCATCTGCTAGCACACCAATCTGAAGTTCTGCCACACAGTTGGCTGGTAACAATTTAAGGAGACTGAGACTTTCAAAGGCAGAAATCCTTTCTGATTCTCTCATTTGCATGGATCTGACAAGGCAGTACCTGGAGTGGTTGAATGCCAGAGACAATGTGATCAGCAATCATTCTGACTTGGGCTCTCTTCTTTGGATCTTGGGGCAGGAGCCTGGGGTTAGGACGTGTCTCTTCTAGGTAATTAATTATAGCTAGCTGTAATGAACAAAGAGATAATGAGAGGTTATTGGAAAGCCAAGGAAAACTTCACATCCCGAACACCTGGGAAAGGGAAGCTGATCCAAGAGAATATGGCAGCTTGTTACCAATCCAAGGAACAGAATAACCCCTCTGACATCTGCCTGTGACCATTTGGTCCAGCTATAATTTCAGGCAAATCATGAAACAGCCATTGAAGTCAGACTACAAACTGCTTAGTGAAAGGTGGAGTTATGAACCAAAGCAGAACTGAACTTAAATCCTTGGCAGTAGTTTCCCATCAGGGACTATTTGCTATTTCTGTTTCCAAGTGGGATCATAAATGCCATCTCTTTTTCCAATGTATAGGTGAGAGCTCTGGGGAAAAATATAGGACAAAGCCATCCCATCTAGACTGGGCAGCAGGCTGGAGTGAAAGGTTAACTGATATGGATGTAGCTGATAACTCACTGACTGAGAAAGGATGATTCCATCAATTTTCAAGGCTGGGACTTGCTGCATTGGATTCAGTGCCTTGAATTCATCAGAAAACTGTGGAAACAAAACTGAGTTTACTCTACAGCAATAAGAAAGTCTTCCTCCTTGTTTTCTTCTCCCAGGACCCAGTTACCAAATTTTTCCCTACCTCTTTTTTTTCTCTAATACTAATCTTTGCAGTAAATTATACTGTACTTATTAGTCTTACAGCTAAGCTCTCACTGGGGCTCAGGGATCACTGCAACCAGGGCCAGACTGCCTTATCTCTTGATAAAGCACCACTGCAATGCCCAGAATGGGTGGTACTGCATTGGTGCCACCATTACTGTCTCAGTTGTCCAACTCTGCCTGAGCCCATACCAGCCCACTGAGCCAGTGGTACTATGAGGTGCACAACTCCCTCCTATAGACCCCCAAGTAAGATCTCAGTGAAGACCTCTTTTGGCAACCCACCTCTTCCTTTTGCAGGCCTTTTGCAGCCCCCTGCAATATCATTTAGCATCTTTTGGACATCCTCCTATCCCCACCTCCATGCATTTTCTGGTGCTAATTGAATGAGGTTGAGTCTGTTTAAAGTGTGGAGCAGCTTCTCTGAAGTCTGTGCTCCAGACATATTCAGTTGTATCATGGTAAGCAAAAGATCTTCAGCCTTATGGATTCAGTCACAAATGTTTGAGAGAGGAGAAGGCCTCTAGTCTCCTGCAGTCATATTCTCCTCCTGTCTCACATGCCAGGGAATACTGGCTGAAAGCAACTATTAATTACACAGATGTGGTGAGGAATTTAGTAATTTTGTCTGTGAACTTTCTAGTGCTTATCCCAAGTCTCCTAATGATCCCCAAGTTCAGTACCCCTGGAGAGAGCTGTGGTATTTTTATCCTTACCTGCTGTCCTCCATCCTTAATGAGGTTCACTGGTACCTGGTCATACGAAATTCCTTTCAGAGCCAGTGCTAGGGAGAGCAGAGTGTATAGCTTCAGATAGCTACATTGGGACCAGTTTCATTGGTAGAGGGCTCAGGGAAATGTTAGCATCTACATTTGAAAAAATACCCCATCCCTCAAGGAGGGTAGCCTGAGTCTACTTAGAAGACAGAGCTCTGGCAAATGAAGGCCCAAAGCACTAAAGATAGTCCTGGCAAAACCACTGTGTTTTTCAAAATAAGCTTTGTAACTCTTTGCAGCACAGCCCTTCCTGATTTGGCTTATAGAGGGCAGGGGACCATGTGCTCACCTGTAAAAACTTTCTGTCTCAGTACAAGTAGGGATCATTCCCAGCCCTGTTTAGCTCTTAAGACCTGGGCAGACCAGAGTCTGAGGCAGTGTCATGAAGCCCTCTTATCTGTTCCTCTCTATTCCACCTGTTCCAGGTAAGCAGCAGTCTTCCCCTCCTTCCCTGTGGGGAGACACCTCACTGTTCCAGACTCATGTTTGCTGACATCTCTGTTAATAAGTGATTGATTAATTGGGTTAGGGAAGGGGAGAATACTGCAATACTGAGACAAAAAAGAGATAAACACTGAATCTTACCGGTTCGCACTCTCCAAGAACAGGAACTTCGGAAATAGCTGTAAAGTATCGGCTGAGAAGAGAAAGATAAAAGGGTTATATGCTGGGAGCACCAGAGAATGTATGTAAAGAGGAGAATACAGGAACAGAAGGCATTTCAGCAACTGTTACGACAGGGGAGAGAGAGCAATGTTTGGAGGAGAGAAGGCTTCTTTCTTAAAGTAACTCTTCCTGATTTGGGCATATGGGTACTATCACTGTCTCTCATAATAGCCTTTTCATCATCCAGTTGCACCTGATGTTTCCAGCAATGTACAAATTATTCCCTATTAAGCTTCCCTCTTTGTCACTATCCAATATTGCTAACTTCTATCCCATGTTAAATTTCTGAAACAATTTCTGTATTGATTGTGCCATTGAAGCACCTGCACTGGGTATTTGCATGGCACGAAATAGCTTTTCCAGCCATGCAGGGGAAAAAGACAGACCTCTTTCCAAATAAGAAGAGCTTCTGCTGTTCGAACTGAAAGCCATGAAGGCAGACAATTCATCTCTACCTGAACTGTAACACTTAAGGCAGCCTTCCCAGATGCTTCCACCCTGTCCAAACTCTCACCTTTTCAGATGCCATGATGCAGTTGTCTCCACAAAAAAACTCTGTGTTTTCCCTTTTAACTCAGCTGGAATGGGGGAAGGCTTCTCTCCTAAAACCAATGAGGAAAGGACTATGCCCCCTAATCTGTGCTCAGGGCACAAAACCCAGCCAATCCTGAGTCACCACAGTCACCCTCTCCCAGCCCTGATATCAAAACCATTAACCAGATTTAAGCTTGGAAGCACATTTAGGAACTGTTCTTATTTCTGTAGTTTTTCATCCAGAAACAAGATACCTTTAGAGCCTCCCATGCTGACACCAGTTGCCAATGCAGGAATCTAACCCTGGAGAACAAATAAAAGAAACCAAATCTGTTTGCAGAATTTGTTTCACTAGGGAATGACTGCTAGCTCTGGGAATGGGCTGCCTTTGCAGGGAGATTCCTTAGTGCGCTCCTGTAGCCCACCTCCCACCAGTACTGGCCAGTACAGAGGGTTTTCTACGTTGCAGATATGAGAGAAGCTGCTACTCTGCTCTCAGACCGACTCTATGTAAAATAAAAGTTGCTTTTTTTTGTGTCACAATCTTTTCTTTCTACACAGGAAACTGGTAGCCATGTATGTCTCTAAATAAACCTGTAATCACGTCTCTCCTTCCTTACACAGATCCAATGGCATGACATGGATCTCTCTGTGTCTCTACCCTCCAAAAATGCATAAAACTTTTCCCAGAGACTGGCAGAAAGACAAAAGAAAGCAGGGATATGCTCAGTTATAGTCTGTCAACAGAAAACCAGAGACACATATGATCCATGTGCTTCAGTCCTCTTTGTAAACTTCATGCTTCTCCTTCAGTTTTGGTTGGCTCAAATATCTTCAAATAAGGTATGTCTTTGACTAAATTACTCAGATTTATAAGTGAGGAGGAAAGTGATGGCAGTAGTTGTAGCATGTTAGTGGACAAAGCATTCACTGATTTTCTTAAATTCTCTTCTTCTGGGATCAGGGCATTAGAAATATCAGCTATGTTAATTTTTCAAATGTTTAGCCTACTGAGTTTCAGGGAAAGGAACAGAACTATGGCTTCAAAAGATAAACAGAGCATTTATGAGATAGTAATTTTAATGGCTTTTCCTGAGGACCTTGCTAATGATTTTTTTTGGCTCAGAAATCCATGTCCTTTACCACATCTATTTTGGACTCTGGCCTCTCAGCCAGCAGACATTTCTCCTGATTCTCTCTGCAGTTCTTTTTTGGTTTTACAGCCTATGCTATCATTTGGAATAAACTGTGCTAGGCTAATTGCCTTGCTCTGTAATTTCAAGGCCCTGGGGGATTTCACCAAAAAGAACATGGAAACCAACTCATCATTCAGCTGGGAACTATCTCCAGAGGTTGGGGCATGGAGTGGTCTCTTGAGTTCATGCTGTTTTGCTCCTAGCAGCAGGGCAGATCACAGGCAAAAATAATCAGCCAGGACTAGAGACAGCATAAATGTTTTGTCCTCAGTGGACAGAACTCAGAGTGACACTGGGTCTTCCTCAGAGGAAATGCTGAGCACGGTCCAGGGAAGTCTCAGGAAAGAATTTCCTGCATTTACTACCCTGTGGGATAAAATCCCTAAAACCTGCAGTTTAGACTGGTTGGGGCTGGATGGTAACAGGAGGATGGAATTTACTTATTGTCTTCTGAGAGTTCTGGTTTGGTTCTGCTTTCATTTCTGGCAATCAGTGTGGAAAATGTGGGCTTAAATACCAGTCCAGAGTAAAAATTTGGGAAACGCGCTTCCCTGTTGTGAAAGACAGAAGAAACACCCCAAACTTAGTGTGTTGACCTCTTAGGATTCCTGTCTTCTTCAGTACGGTCTACTCTGGCTACCTCTTTCCAGGCGATATGTGGGATGCACTTGGGAAGGCCGAATCTCTCACCTTTCCTGAGAGCCACCAAGCCCAGCAGCCTGCACACAGACACTGGCATGGGGGACACCTCGGTGCCTGACAGCCACTGCTTGTACTCTGCTGGCTTCAAATGTAAAGCTGAAAGAACAGATTTACTCCTAAATTCTTAGTATCTCTTCAACAGGACTTGCACGCGAATAAAATATGGTAAGTAAGCATCACCGCTAAAAGCATTAACACACTAGAGCATTTTATTTAGCAGGGGGTTAAATGCCTTGTTTTCCACTGCGACAGAGACACGGCTGCAGGCCGGGGCAGCGGGGGCGCGGTCGCCCCGGGAACCGCCAGCCCGGCCTTCCCGGGGTGCCGAGGCACCAGAACCCACAGCCGGCGGACAGGGCCGGACCGAGCGAGGCCGGCGCAGGCCGAAGG